TCTATATCTATACTTAATAATAAAGAAGCAAAATTTTTGGCTATTTTTTTTCGTCCATCCATTTTTTTTCTTTCACCTTTCCCTAACTACCGGTAGTCGAGAGTTTTTTAAGTCTAAACTTATGATCCTAGATAGTTAGGACAAACGATCTCTTCGAGCCTGAATAAACGAAATAGGAATATGAATCCTAATTCAAATAGAAAATAAATTAGACAAAATCTTATTTTACTTCCCGGCTCCGTCTCCTATCTATATGTACATAACGGAGTCCAATCGGCCGGATGCCTGTTTCCGTACGTTCCGATTTCTTTTCCCTTCAAGTGCACGTTCTTATTTTTTCTATTTATTTGGTTGGCCCCATTAGAGGAGAGAGAGCACACGTTCTCTCTTTTTTATATTTTTTTCTCCTTTCGCTTATCGTTTTCTGTCAAGTCGGTTCCTCTTTCTTTGTGACAAACTCGCGTTTAGATTTCTCATGATTTTTTTTCCTTTTTCCATGTTCAGGTAATAAATATGAAAATAGAAATAGAACCCTTCAAGCACACGTTCTTATTTTCCCTATTTATATTGGCTGGCCCCATATAAAGGAGAGAGCACACGTTCTCTCTTTTTTATATTTTTTCTCCCTTTCCCTTATCGTTTTCTGTCAGGTCGGTTCCTCTATTTCTTTGTTACAAACTCATGTTTAGATTTCTCATGACTTTTTTCCTTTTTCCATGTTCAAGTAATAAATATGAAAATAGAAATGGAAAAACAAATGACAATATAATAATAATGAATATATTCAAGAGAGCATGTTCTTTTTCTTATTTATTGGATGGTCCTGTATAGAGCAGGGAGCACACGTTCTCTTTTTTATATGTTTTGTTCACCCTTTCCCCTATGGTCAGTTCCTATATTTCTTTGTTACAAACTCGTGTTTGGATTTCTCGATTTTTTCCTTTTTCCATGTTCAAGTAATAACTATGAAAATAAAAATAGAAAGACGACTAACAATATAATAATGAATATATATACACACACCTTAATATTAAAGAGCCAAAATTATGCCGTAATAATTTTCTTCTGCCTCTTCTATCAAACTCGTTTGTTCCCTACATCACCCGACTCCATCGTGTTTTACCAGTTTTTCAGACAGTCCACGGTTCCTTTCATTTTTTCTTCGTCTCAATTTTTTCCTGAGCCTAAACACGGGCCCAGCTCTTTGGCCTCGCACGTTTCGCCAGCAGTGCGCCCCACCCGCCTTCGCACTCGCTCCTCAAAGTCCGTTATGTCAGCCCTGTGCACTGCATCATGCCCGCGCCTTGTCGGCTCTGCGCCCTCACCACGCCGCTCAACCTACGCAGATTCCAAGCCCCACCAACTATGCATGCACCGAGAGCCCTAGACTCTCTGGGCCACGCCGACCGCACAGGCTCTGTGAAATGGAGAACCACTCGTGGCCCGTGCACAACTATTCTAATGAAGATGGATGACTAGGTCTCGTTTATTTTGCTGAAATTTGGTTTATGCTGATTTCTTGTGAGAGAGAAATACTGTTCCTTCACTGAAAAATTCTGCTGAAGTAGTGCTGAAAAATAGGGCATAACCAGATGCTTTAAAAGTATCAATACATATCGTCGTCGATTTCATAGATGATAGAACTGTGAATGTGAGGACGGTGTTAACAACTCATAAACAACCCGTTGCAACGCGGACACTTTTGCTAGTCGAATACTGGTAAGCGCAAAATACCTGTCGGTTGCTGACGGTGACGGTGACGGCAAAGATGAAACCTAGAATTCTGTTCCCGGTCGGTCTTGAGCCAGCAGGAGTTCACGGCCCGAGGCCCGAGGGAAGGTCCACTTTGCCTCGCTAAGCGTTCTTAGGCCCACATGCTGACAACCATGCCTCCTCCGAATCCCCGCCCGGCGCGCCCGTTCTCGCCTGTCGCCTCCGCGGCTCCGCCGCCGAACCAATCGCGTCCACCGCCGGCAGCGCCCCTACGCACCGTCGCATCCCTTGCCTGTTGCCGCCAGCACCACGAGCCTCCGGCGTCTCCCACACCTCCGGCTTTCCCCGTCCTCTCCTCCGCCTACGCCCATTCCGCGGTCGGCGCGGGCCAGGGCTGTCGGATCCATGACCCAGCCGCCGTCTTCTCCTCCTCAGGGTGGGCGGAAGCGGGCTGATCCACGACCACACCGCCATGGTGGGTGGGTGAGAGCGGGCAGATTCACTGACCCCGACGCCGTCTTCCTCCTCATGGCTGGCAAGAGCGGGCAGATCCGCGACCCCGAGGCCGTCTTCTTCGTCAGGAGCTGTTCAGAAGCCTCGTCCCCGAGCGCCGGGCATCCCATCCTGGCCCCGCTTCTGGAGGGCTGTGGAGTCGGAGTGAACCACAGGCGACCCAAGAGGGGGAGATCCAAAAGAGGCGCAGGAAGTAGGTCGTTTTCATCTGCCGTCTGCACGACGTGCTGAAGCCTGCCACCGTGGGCAGCGTCTGAGGTGATTCATTCCTCCCCTAGCCTGCTACTTGATCCGATGTACTGCTGCATCTCAGGAGATTAATTGCCACCGGCTTCTACATCGCCTTGTACTGAAATGCAGAAGTACTAGGTTTGAACATAGCCTGCTCATTTGTGATTTTTGCACTACATGAGTATGTTTTGATACTTTTTTCTATTTTGGGCATGTTATGATAATCAAACAAGAGAATATAGCCTGCATTTCACCACTAATTTAGAATAGATGTAGATAGGTACTGTACTGAACCTTTGCAAATAAACTGCACAAATGGTTGACGCATAGTTGCAGCCTATTGCGATTGGCAAAAGTATTATAATTAATTTAATAATTCAATTGGTCTTTCATAGTCTTGATGTTTCTCTGTCATCAATCGCAATGTTTCCATCATTCAGTGGAGCTAGCCATTTAACTTGTTCCCTGCTAAGCCAATGACTCAATGAGGCATTCATTCTGACACCTGAAATATATGTCATTTGCATTCATCTTGTAATGATTTACCAGTCTAAATTGATATGTTGCAGATTGTAAGAGCTTGCGTTGCATATGAAATCATGAGGCCGCGAATGAACTGCCATATGATGCGCAAACATTGTAAGTGCCTTCTTAACTAAGTATTGAGGTATAGATAGTTTGTCCATGAATAAACAGCTTGGTGAACATTAGTAATTATGCTGGATACACGAAGGTTGCCTCATTTATCCAGGATAAAGAGTAATTTTCACCAAGCTGTAAGTGCCTTCTTAACTGCATATGCCTTTCTTGAAGTTGATCATGTTGACTTCTTAAACCAGTAAGTGTATATATTCCTTTTGGGCTAGTTATTTAAAACCTATCCATTATTCACTGGGCTAGTGAGAAAATAATTTAGCAATGGAATAGTTCGCTCAATTGTTGAGATGAGTTCTGGCCTATGCTAATTGTTTTTATTAGATGATGGCCTCTTTGCCTATGTTTTATCATCATGTTATTACATTGATTCCCAAAGTATCATATGCTGGGCATTATTGATGTTGTAAACATCAAGTCTGCTTGGGCCTCTAATTTATATTGAACAAAAGGTTACGTTGGTATGAGAAATTAGGCCTGTGCTATATTTGTTAAGAATAGCTTCATCACTTATTTCTGTTTAGTAAAGACATTTGAACTGACATATACTGCTAGGGTACTAGACAGGCATGATTACAGCTCAGTATTTAATACTAGCAACAGCCTGTATAGCAGCTCAACAGCTAATGCAAATAAGATATTACAACATGCATTTGTATCCCATGATAATTTTGAGTCAACTCAGGTTGAATATTGTAACTCTACTCCTTGTAGCCTTGTAGGTAACTTGATTATCCCATGCTGGAAATGATGTTTCTGCTTCTTTTGCGTAGTTAGTACTTAGTAGGAGTATGATGTAGATAGTGAAAAAGAATCCTTTTGTCAAGCTGCCAATGTAGCTAGGAGCTGAACATGCAGTGTTGTGAACTTGATTTCTTAATTCAGGATAAGAGCTGTATATTGTTATTCCTAGGAGCTTCTTTTGCGTAGTTAGTAGGAGTATGATGTAGAGAAACTCCTTTTGTCAAGCTGCCAATATAGCTTGGAGCTGAACATGCAGTGTTGTGAACTTGCATTCTTAACTCAGTATAGGAGCTGTCATGTTGTTATTCCTAGTGTGGGGAACAATAAATCTGTACTGAGCAGTAAGGGCTATTTGGATTTGGTTGACATGTGAATTTCATTTGTGTTATTAAATTTAATGACTAATATGACTTGTGAGTTGATGTATAAATTGCACACAAATATGGATGATATTGGTGGTATTATGAGACAGTCCTGGTACAAATGAAGACCTGACAGTCTGGTTGTCTTTTCGTTTGGCGTCAAATGTCTGGAATAACGCAAGGTATCCTGTCCGGGTGGAATTCCTGATGGCGTACTGACATGATCTGATTTTGACTGGTCAACATGAACCAACAGGAATTGCTTCCTGTAGACTGACCGTCAGGAGAAGTTGATTTCACCTCTCGAGCTGGTCCTATCGGCCATCCCTGATGGCCAGCTGTTAGCAGTGTAACTTAGGCAAAAAGGTGCCCTGGTAGTGTGCTGCCATTACCTTCTATCATGTCCAGTGTATGATTTACAATATTTGATTGAAATTGCCGCTTCAGTTTGTTGCTTGATATTTTGGATCCCCCATTGTTCATAGAAATATCCATTTTCTGATAGAGTGGGGCATGCTCTATACCTACTTTGTTAATGGAATTGGTCTCAACCATTTGTGCTACCTTAGCCCTTATAGGGTGAAAACTTGCTGATTGAAATTGGGATATTGTGTTGTTCAGCTGAAACCAGTTTCTGTATTTTTTTACAATAATAGTTACGTTTAGTCCTTGCCTCCAAGAATGGAAAAAGCAACTTCAATTTTGTCTTCCTGTCATTTATTGTGCTATACTTTACCTTACTGCTGATCTGTTCCTCAGATATTAAAATTCTTTAGTTTGTCCATGAATAAACAGCTTGGTGAACATCAGTCTTATCCTGGATACATGCTCATGATTACCAATGTTGTCATTCATTTGTTCTTGGTCACTGTCAAGGTAAATTTATGAATTGATGTAAATCATTGTATCATTGAAGCCTCACAGTTCTGTATCTATGCACAGGTGAGACTGGAAGTAATGGGGAAGAAAGCAAAAAACACAACTTATATATCTGGAAATGAAGCTGGGAGGATATCAAGAGAAGTTTCTAAAGTGGAAAAGTGAAGAACTGTGAAGAGCACACTTTGTAACGAGAGAAGTTCGCGGAGCCATTGCATGGTTTGTTGCATTCAGCCACCAGCATTTTGAGCATTCATTTTTTTTAAACCAAGCTTTGTACGAGCTATGCTTGCATCTATAGATTATCCTGGATGTCCCATCTGTGGGAAAGGTTTATGCTTGTGGAAATGGCTGGATCTAAAAACATAGAAGCAGCAGGACAAACAGGATTTGAAGCCAAAATGCAGGTGTGTTATGCAACCGATTCTTGTATGTTTGTAGCATCTGTGTTCCAAACTTCCAGTTGCACTCTGAACAATGGCTTTCAATGAGTTGCTCTGTGTATATGTTTGTAGCATCTATGTGTTCCAAACTTCCAATTGCACTCTGAACAATGGCTTTCAGTGAGTTGCTCTGTGTATTTAATAGATAGTTTGGCACTGATCTTGCCACATGAATTGTACCACTGTTAAAAGCCTATAATATTTTATTACATGTTTGATCATAATGTTGGAAGGGCGGGCCTGGTGCAAGCGGTAGAGTCTTACCGCCTGTGATCGGAAGGTCCTGGGTTCGAGTCGTGGTCTCCTCGCATTGCACAGGCGAGGGTAAGGCTTGCCACTAACACCCTTCCCCAGACCCCGCACAGAGTGGGAGCTCTCTGCATTGGGTACGCCCTTGTGATCATAATGTTGCCAATTTTTCCAGACAGCAAAAATTAACCAAGGGAGCACAGCTTTGAAGCGAGTCGTTGCAATGCTATTAAATTGGCTAATCGTCGCTAATCGCCCTGGCACTGATAAGGACGATCAGGACGATTAGTCGACGATCAGGACGATTAATCGACCTCTTATCGGTCTAATCGTCCATACAATTGTCCTGTATATAGCAGGACATATGTCATATATGTATGGTATATATACCATATAAATATACTTATATAGTAGAAATTGAGCGCCGAGACTATGTTTCTTTGTGCTCCCTTGGACCTGCAGCCTGCAGGTGGGGAAGAGAATTGGCGAGCTTCCTTGTGGCTTGCACACCTGCAACCTTCCCTTGACCCTGCAGCAGGAGGGAGGAGGAAGCAGCGGGACTGCAGCAGGGAGGAGGAAGCAGCAGGACTGCAGTAGAGAGGAGGAAGCAGCAGGACTGCAGGAGAGAGGAGGAAGCAGCAGGACTGCAGGAGGGAGGATGAAGCAGCAGGGAATCTTGGAACCAGAAGGAAGGGAGGAGGGGAAGAGATGTAGCTGCACACACAGCAAGTGCAGCCGACGGCTGGAGGCTGGGGGTGAGGTCTGAGGAGGTGAGGGAAAGAGTGGGGGAGAGGTATAAAAGAGAAACCCTAATGGGCCTGGCCCAAACAGAGCTAGCCCAGTCTAAAGCAGTCGTGTCTGATTGGTCAGGACACCTTATCGGACGATTTATCACGATTAATCGAAGATAAATTGAACGATCAGGTTTCTGATCGCTCTGATCGAATCGGAGTGCCTAATCGAGTGCTAGGTACCGATAAGGACGATTAATCGTGATTAATCGGACGATCTGATAACATTGAGTCATTGAATCTATTGCTAATGGTGATTACCATGTTCCATTTAGGAACAACAAGCTCACTATGCTACTACAGGTACACTACTCTAAAAATCTACATTTATTGATACAGCCTCTCCTCCTCTCTAAGAGCAACTCCAGCAGGAGCCCCCAAAACAAGGCCCTTACTTTTCATTTGGGTGCTCCCCCCACTTTTGGGGGGCTTGTTTTTTTGACTGAACTCCAGCAGGAGCCCCCAAAACAGGGCCCCTACTTCTCAATTCCCTCTATTTTATCACACACTATATGCATATGTATTTGCAAACAGCATATTATATAATAATTTATTTAAACTATAACAATAAAGCATCATATGTAAACTTATAAATGAAAAATAAAAATATTCAAATTTAAATTAAAACACAAATTTGGTCTGAATTTAATGATAGTCGATCACAACATAGTCCATGCCAATTTTGCAAATCAAATAACATAGTCATCAACATAAAGTCGAACAAAACAATTAACTTGCGCCATGTCGCGCCCATCTTCAATCTCCTTGTGTATCCTGAGAAACTCGGACATCACATTTAGACTGCGGCGTTGGTATTCCTCCTGCCTCAACTCCTCACCCCCATCTTGATCATAGTCATATCCCCCAACATCGCCGTCATCTCTCATTCTCAATTATCATATTGTGCAAGATCACACATGCTGCCAATATGTACCATAGCATATCCTTGCCCCAAAATCTTGCAGGACCCCTAATCATGGTGATAGAATTGTGATTCCTTACAATTGGGCTAACCCTCGAAGGGTAGCTATGTTGGAGTCATACATGGGCCATATATGGGCCTTAATACACACATACTCCAACACATGGCAAAGCGTGACTGCAAAACACCAAATGCCCTCTCAACATCCTTCCTAGCCACTTCTTGAGCTTGTGTGAAGTGAGACTTCTTGTTACCTTGTGGATTTCTGTAGCTCTTCACAAATGTAGCCCAAGAAGGATAGATCCCATCTGCCAAATAATAACCCATGGTGTACTTATTGCCATTCACAGTATACTCAATTGGAGGTGAAGTTCCTGAAGTTAGTCGTTGAAAAGGGGGAGACCGTCGAAGTACATTGATATCATTTAGTGATCCTGGTAAACCAAAAAATGAATACCAAATCCACAAATCCTCCGATGCAACCGCTTCAAGGATCATTGTTGGACCATCCACATGTCCTGTGTACATACCTGTCCATGCAGTAAGGGCAATTCTTCCACCACCAATGCATATAGTCAATGCATCCAAGCATACCTGGCCAACACCTATTGTTGTTCATCTCTAGTAACCTTGCAGTATCCTCGACAGTGGGTGGCCTCAAGTATTGCTCACCAAAAACATCAACCACAGCTCGAAATAATCTGCAACAATGCGCAAGCTACCAGCATGCATGTCTCTTGGCACCACTTGACGACCGGGCATTGAACAGCGACGCTTCTTATGACTCCTTTCTTCATCTTCAGCAAGAATTAGCAGCAGCGCAACTAAATCATCATCATCCGATTCTTCTTCCTCCCACCATTGCTCAAAAAAATCATCTTCATCATCAGTAAACACCATCTGCAATATCATTGTCGCATATTAGTTTATAATTTCAGCAACACAACATGGACAGGTACTGCAGAGACCAAATGGCCAAGATAACCACACTGCTGCAAATAAAAACAGTACTGCAGAGACCAAATGGCCAAGATAACCACACTGAAAAACAACCATAGCCATATCTCCAATTTAAAGTACACCACTGATTACAGTTCAGTCAAATCTGAGAATTCAGTCCAAAATCTCAAACTAAAAGCAGTTATATTGATTGAAAATTGCAATCATTTATTCCCTAAAAAAAAGCAAAGGTGATTTTCTCCATTCCGTGTAAAATTGGGGACCAAGAAATGACAATTCTGAAGTTAACACATTCTATTCCATTTATGCAATACCTCTGAAATACACTGAAAAACTAAACTCGTTGAATATAGGTGAAGTTAACACATGCTATTGCATTTATGCGGATGATCCAACCAATTGAAAAGTAATACAAATTGATGTACAGTACGCACTCATACTTATCAGCAGATTTACCAAAAAATAAAGTAAGAAAAGATGGAGCATGCCTGTTACCTTGGAGAGGATGGAGCAGGGTCACGTCTGCTAGTGGTGTTGCTCCTGCTGAGCGCACGGACGGGGATGGCGGGGCCGCTCGTGAGATGCAGAGCCGGTCGTGAACTTGCAGAGATGTAGCGCCAGTCCCTTCCCATAGATCCAGAGTGCGCCAGTCGCGTTCTTCTTGTGGGCAGACGGGGAAGGGGCCTGCCCGCGAGCACAGCTGCAGGGGAGGGGAGGGAGCCGGCCGGGAGCGGAAGCAGCCGAGGAGAGGGAAGAACCTGGCGGCGCCGGTCAGTCTAGCAGATCCGGTGGAGCCGTCTTCCTTCCTGCTCGCGGGAGGACGGGAGCTAGATGCAGGGGAGGGGAAGCTCCGTGCGCGAGGTGGAGGAAGATGCGGTCGCCATGTCGACAGGGAGGAAGCAGCGGCGGTGCGCGGCTTTCGTCGCGAGCGGGAAGAAAGCCCGTGCGAGGAAAACAGCTGCAACAGATGTTTCAGGGCTCTGCCTTGACCCAACAGGAATGCGGTCCTTGGGGTGGATTTGGGTGCCCAGCCAAATATGGGGTATGTAGTAGGGGCCCTGCTGGAGTGATGTTTATGGGGGCTCAAGTAGGGCCCTGCTGGAGTTGCTCTAACACTGATCTAAATATTTCTTTTATTGTATTTCAGGATTCATTCGAGGATGACAAATCCAAAATCCTGATGATTCATTTTGGAATTGGCCACAATGTAAGTCTTTAAGAAATTGTAATTAGGCCTTTCTTTTGTCTCATTTTGGAATCGGCAGCAAGCCTCGTTGATGTAGTTGATGTATATGCGTCCATTGTCATGATCAGATGGCTTCGGGGAACAAGGAAAACCAGCTTCTGGAGATGAAGCAGCAGTGCCCCCCAAATGCTATGCTGCATATAGATCTTGAGGTGATCTCTTGGAAAGTTGGAAGTCTATGACGCTTATCTTTGTAGATAAAATGCTACTTTGGACTTGATGTGGTCTGTAGCGTTAGCATGGGTAATATACTAGTTCTGTTAAGTAAAGACATTTGAACTGCCATATACTGCTAGGGTACTAGACAGGCATGGTTAGCTCAGTATTAATACAAGCAACAGCCTGTATAACAAGCAGCTCAACAGCCAATGCAAATACGATATTTACAACATGCATTTGTATCCCATGATAATTTTGAGTCAACTCAGGTTGAATATTGTAACTCCACTCCTTGTAGCCCTGCAGGTAACTTGATTGTCCCATGCTGGAAATCAAGTTTCTGTTTTTTTTGCGTAGTTAGTAGGAGTATGATGTAGAGTGAAAAAGGCTCCTTTTGTCATATAGCTAGGAGCTGAGCAGTGTTGTGAACTTGCATTCTTAAGTCAGTATAGGAGCTGTCATGTTGTTATTCCTAGTGTGGGGAACAAGAATCTGTACTGAGCAGTAAGGGCCATTTGGATTTTGTTGAGATGTGAATTTCATTTGTGTTATTAAATTAAATTTAATGTCTAATGTGACCTGTGCACAAAAATAAGGATGATATTGGTGGTATTATGAGACACTCCTGGTACAAATAAAGACCTGACAGTCTGGTTGTCTTTTCGTTTGGCGTCAAATGTCTGGAATAACGCGAGGTATCCTGTCTGGGTGGAATTCCTGATGGCTGTACTGACAGGATCCGATTTTGACCGGTCAACATGAACCGACAGGAATTGCTTCCTGTAGACCGACTGTCAGGAGAAATTGATTTCGTCTCTCGAGCTGGTCCTATCGGCCATCCCTGATGGTCAGCTGCTAGGAGTGTAACTTAGGCAAAAAGGTGCCCTGGTAGTGTGTTGCCATTACCTTCTATCATGTACAGTGTATGGTTTACAATATTTGATTGAAATTGCCGCTTCAGTTTGTTGCTTGATATTTTGGATCCCCCATTGTTCAAAGAAACATCCATTTTCTGATTGTGGGACATGCTATATACCTACATTTCAAATGAATTGGACTCAACCATTTGTGCTACCTTAGCCGTTAGGGTGAAAACTTGCTGATTGAAATTAAGTGAGATACTGTGTTGTCCAGCTGAAACCAGTTTCTATATTTTACAATAATAGTTACGTTTAGTCTTTGCCCCAGGAATGGAAAAACAACTTCAATTTTGTCTTCCTTTCATTTATTGGTTTAGAAAATGTTATCAGAGATATTGATTTAGCTATAACTCGTGTTTAGTTTTGTAACTAGAAACACTGGCGCCGCGTCGCCGTGCCCTTTTGATTGTCCCGTATGATCCTTCCCACGTCTCGTTCAGTGGTCTGAAATGTACACGACGTTGAGCATCTTCTGTAGGCTCTATGACATGTTTCTGGGTAGGATGTTATCAAAAACAATTTGATTAATTTGCTTGTAATTGCAAAAATTCTTTAGAAATGCAAAGAAGATAGGTGTGTACGTGTCCATATTGCAACTACAGCGGCCTTGTTCGTTTCGCTGAAATTTGGCTTATGATGATGCTTATGCTGATTCGTTGTGACAGAAAAACACTGTTCGTTAGCTGAAAAGTACGGGTGCTGAAGAACAGGGCCTATAGGTTCTTTTAGTGTTTATTTGAATGTAGACTGATTGAGAGAGATGATAAAACTGAGATTTTGCTGGTCACTTACGGTTTTTTTGTTTTGAGCTTGCTAGCCGCACACAAATAGTGCACCAAGAGAAAATATACTAGCAACATGCATCACCATATATATTAATTCATATTAGAAGCGAAAAATCTTGCAAAGAATCCCGCATAGTGGTTTTCATATTGATTTGGAGACATCGTCCAAGTAAAATAATAATATATGAGAGGATACGGTTCTGTGGTGACGATTGAATTGCGTCTCTATCCAATGGCTTTAACGGATAGATGGAGATGTAGGCTGCATGGTTTAACGGATTGATGGAGATGTAGACCGTGTGGCTTCGAGCGAGGACCAGATCAACGTTCCATAGGCTTTGGGTAGCTAGATCTAACTGAATTAATTCTTGCAAAGCTTTCACGAAAGAATCAAAATTTGATTTGGGAATTAAAGGTAGTTGTAGAATTTAAGGCTCATGGCGTGGATTTACCTGGATCTGCTAGCTTTAGAATATCAATAAGGACGCATGTTAGCTGGACTGCCACCAGGAAACATCGGGTTGGGGGCGCTTAATCAATGTCCCTCTCCAGCATCAGGTTAGCTAGCAATGACCGCTGGTGATGTATGTGACAGCTAGTTGGGATTAATATAAGAGCAAATGTGGTAGGGAGTCTTCCTGAAATTAATAAGAGTATATAAAAGCGTTTTCCGTATTGATTTGGAGATATCGTCCAAGTAGAAAAAATAATATATTGGAGGATACGGTCCTGCGATGATGATTGAATTACGTTTGGATCCAATGGCTTTAACGGATAGATAAAGATGTAGGTTGGACGACTTCGTGTGACCCGTGATCAAGGTTTCATAGGCTATGGATAGCGAGGTCTAACTTAAGTAATTCTTGCAAAGCTTTCATGAGAGAATCAATATTCGATTTGGGAATTAAATATAGTCACATAATTTAAGTCTTATGGCATGAATTTATCTAGATCTATTAGCTCTATGATATCAACAGTGAGGTATGTTAGCTGGACTACCACTAGAAAAGATTAGGTTAGGGGCACTTAATCAATGTCTCACTAGCGTCAGGTTAGCTGGCAATAACCGTTGGCGACGTATTTGATAGCTAGATGGGATTAATAGAAGAGCGAGTGGGGCAGGGAGTCTTACCGAAATTAACAAGAGTGTATAGAAGCTGGCTTATGGTATGGATTTACCTAGATTTGCTAGCTTTAAGATATCAATATGGAGGCATGTTAACTGGATTGCCACAAAGAAAGGTCAGGTTGGGACGCTTAATAATTGATTTCCAGCCAGCGTCAGATAAGCTGACAATGACCGTTGAAGACTAGTGGGGCATGGAGTATTACTAAAATTAACAAGATTGTATAGAAGCTGGCTTATAGTGTGGATTTACATAGACCTGCTAGCTTTAGGATATCAACAAGCAGGCATGTTCGCTTGACTATCACTAGGAACGATCGGGTTGGGACAATAATCAATGTCCCACCAGCGTCAACAGGTATATTACAGAGTTGTATGTATCTCATGTTTCTGGGTAGCATATTATAAAAAACAATTTGATTAATATGCTTGTAATTGCAAAAAATTCTTTAGAAATGCAAAGAAGATAGGTGTGTACGTGTCCATATTGCAACTACAGGTCCTTTATATCTGAATATACAAACTTCAACATGTATATTACAGAGTTGTACCCGTAATTTTATCCTATGGCTTATCTTAATCTATGGAAAAAGAATATATTCCATGCTCTACTACTCTCACATACATAAAGCGTGCATTGCAGCAGCAATGCCTAGAGAATATCCTGTGTCTCCACAGTTAACAAAAGGCATTTGGTACAAAGTGAAGATTGACATACCGCGCGCCACGAATGAAAAGGACCGAGAAACGGCGCTTATCACGGTGGCACTCTGCAAACAATGTGCTTGATTTATCGAACACACAGAGAGAGTTTCCATCGTGTCCACCGGCCCTGCCCATCTTCCAGCCCACTCTGCTACTCGGCGTCGAACGGCCCGCCAGCGGCAACCATCGCCCGCGTCGGCCGAACGAACAATGGGCATAGTGCATCGGGAAATCGAGGTGGGCTCTCAGGCCCATTCACTCCGGCGGCCGTGCCGGGGAAGGGAGCAGTGTGGGCTCTCCTGGACGCCCGATGGTATTGCTGACCTCGCGCGCCAGGCGCTGCAGCTTGGCCTCCACGTGCCCCACGCGTTGTGGGCTGTGGCAGCAGCTTCCGCAACGGTGCTGCTGTTTAGGCCCGAATTGCCCAATGGACATTTGTTCCAACGTGTTCTTCTAAAAAAACCTGTTCCAACGACGTGTGAAGTGTGATCGGCAAGGGCAAGGCGACGAGCACGTAGCACGCCAGCCATGCGCCCCGCAGCCTCATCCGCGCTGCTTGACTGTGTCCCTGCGCCGGTCGGTCGCTCTAGCTGCTCGACGGGGCCGACGCCGGTACTCGCTATGGGCGGACGGGAACGAGGGAGGACACAGGACGAGTTCAACAAACTCTCTATATGCAACTGGCAGGCGCCTCAGCAGCTAGAAACATCTACTGAAGATGTGCGCCTCACCAGTCGAGGAAGCCACAAGCTAGAAGACTGTCAGGAGCCGTCAGGTGTTTGGGCCTGGATGGGTTAACGAGTGAGCCCAGTTGGCAAGTGTTGTGTAAGCCCAGCTGGCGAGTGTGTGGCTGGCACCTTCTGGACAGGTTAGAATTATTGTAACAAGGAAGCCACTAAGACCGAAGAAGAGAGCCTCCTTTGTCTTCGTCCCCAAGCCGACTCCTCTGGTCCTTTCCTCCCCTGCTAACTCTCCATGTCCGCGTGAGCCCAGCTGGCAAGTGTTCGCGGACCACGGCGCCAGCTGGCGCGGACCACGGCGTGCTCCTCCGCGCCCGCCTACCTGGCCGCAGGGCTCGCTGCCTCCGGCCGCTGGTCCACCGTCGCCCTCCTCGCAGAAGCACTCGACCCAGGGTGCTCGACGATGGATTGCAGCCACGACACGCTCGTCGTCACGCGGGTGCCGCGGAGGGTCGTCACCAGCGAACGCGACCGCACCACCGTGGACCGGCTCGAGCGCGCCTGTGCGGTCGGCCCCAGCACCGGCAAGCTCTGCCTCTTCTCCGACCTCCTCGGCGCACCGCTCTGCCGCGTCCGCCACTCCCTTGGCCCCACCTACCGGCCGCTCTCAAGGCTCGTGCCGCCGCCGCCTCGCCCTACGGGGTCTACTCTGAGCACATCGCCATCTCCCACACGCTCAGTGTGCGGGCCCATGCGTGCCCTGCTCCGAGGCAGCAGCAGGTGCGCCGCGGGGGCCGCAGCAGGTTCCCGTCCCTCGTCGGCTGCGCCACCGTCGGCATGAACATCGTCTTCGTCGGCGCCAAGATGGCGCCGTGGAGCACGACTGGCGGCCTCGGTGACGTCCTCGGCGGCCTCCCACCAGCCCTGGCCGTGAATGGGTCCCACGGGATGGCTTGGTCGACACACGCTGCTGAAGCTACACCAACGTCATCACCGACATCTACACTTCCAGGTGCCTCAACCCCAAGCCTTGCCATGTTGAGTTCGATATCTCTGGAGCATGCCAGCTTGGGTGCACGCCAGGTGTTCGAGGAATTGTCACTGCATGCCGACATCTTCTGCAACATCTGTATTGGCTTCGAGCTGCCGAGTCGTATGTCACTAGGAGTCGATCAACACCAACCATGGCCACCACCTGACGACCTGAGGTTGATGAGTTGTGATGCTGAGTTACGGCCTACACCATGGCCGTTGTTCAACAAGGCTGAGAGGCTCTCTGTCAGGAGTTCCTGGGGTCGACTTTGGAAGCCCCCGTGGCCTATACAAATTTGCCAACAAATCAGGTTCGTGCTCACTGACCTTGCAGTGTCCTGGAAATACATGATGATACCGGTGCTTGGTGCTATGGCGATGTGTGCTAGTGTTGACCTTCGATCAATACCATGGCCATCCTTCAGCGTATTCCATGAATTTACTGTACAGTGGTGTAGTGTGTTTGACCGTGGAAAGTGCCATCAGCTTGGTGGAATTCTAGTCAGAAAGTTCTCTGGTGCTCAGAAGCCTATTGCCTCAGTTTGTCATGGACAGTTGATTTTAGCGGCAGCGAGAGTAATTGAGAACCGTACATGCACAACATATCCATTTGTTACACCAGTTTGGGTTGCTGTGGTGCTAAGTGGGAAGAACCTGATACAATGGCAAAAGTACTGTTGATGACCCTCTCATCACTGCAGCGACTTATGATTCTCATCCTGAATTCATCAGCCTAATTGTCAACGCATTTGGAGACTCAGTGGCAGGCTCAGACAAGAAAATGTTGTTCCTATGTGGGGAGCACACCTGGGTTTCTACCGATGAGCATGAATTGGAGGTCTGGATTTTTCAGTTGCAGCAACCATGGCCTCCACCTGCTGTTCTTCCACTCTGGCCACTTCCTTGGCCTTCCTTCTCTAGTTACGCAGCCTCTGTGCACACCTCCTTATCAGTGGTTCTGTGCTATCACCCGCCTCTATCAGTCTCTGTTGGTGGTACTGATTGTTTTGATGGTGCTCATCTAGCTGCTGTGGTGGTTCTGCTGGTTACAGCAAGGATTGTAAGGGGTTAGGTTTTGCTCAGTTTGAGCTTCATGTGCTCCGCTGTGTCAGTCTTGGTCGCACATATGGTTTAGTTCCACTAGTCAGGCTGTTCCACTTGCTGTTCCAAGGGCCTCTTAATTTTCTATTGCTCCGGCAACTTTGGAGTGTGGAAGATGCTCCCTTATTGTCTGTTGGCAATATGCTTGATGCTGAGTTTGGTGACATCTGGCCGAAACTCCCGTGGCCACCACCCCTTAGCAAATGGGTATGGTTTCAACTCTCTGCAAATTGTGTGCTTAGCTGTTCAGTGAGCAAATTGAGGTTGATCATCATTGTGTGAGCTGTTGGGAATGTTGGAAGCACTGGCTCAAGTTACTTCAAAGTGCAGTGCAAGTTGCTGAACTCAATGGTAGGGAGGCAGTTCAGTGGTTCCAGTCCTATCATGATTTTATCATAATTGCCTATGCAGATTTCAAGTTGGCCTGCACATGGTTAAGGTTACACATATTTCAGTTGTTCCATGGGCGCTTCAGGGTATAATTGTATTTCTTGTGCATCTCATCATTGATAGAAGAACTGGGTAGCTACTTGGTGTGGGAAAATTCTCAGATGCAGAGGGACAACATCTGCAGTTGCTGTGTAATTCTGGTTAAAGCCCTATACTGTCTCTCAAAGGTGGCCGTGTGAATGATTCCAATGGCAGCTCTGTGGTCACAATCAACACATCTCAGTTCAAAGTAAACCCAGATTTGCCTGTTGCTGAAGAACTGCAGCAGTGGGACATAACTGAAGGACAAAATACCGCTTTCATTTCTTTGTCTCCAGAACTATCAAACATGAGCAGGAATTATGTGCTGGAAACAATTGCACAGATCAAGGATGAGAAAGTGGGGCAATCAGATAAGCCTGACTTCATCACTGTCAGGGCTGTACTCTCTCATGTGAGGGCTGATATATTCTGCTATCTAGCTTGTTCCTTGGAGCTTACTGGGAAACATGCTACATTGAGGTGACTAGAAATGGTGATGGGACATGGTACTGTGATAGCTGCAATCAGCGCACTAAAAATTGGGAGTCCAGGTGCCTGCTTTTGTTTCAGATCAAGGATCACACTGGTTCTACTTCCTTTACTTCTGGTGCTTCCACAGACAATATCTACATTCTAAGAGCTCTATGCACTGACCATGGCCTGTATTCCAACAAACAGCTGCAACAGTTTCCTTGGGATCCCGGAGGTTCCATCCTTCTCCATCAGCTTGGGGCAAGCCGAAGCTTAAGAAGGGGGGAATGTTAGGGATCAGCTATGGTTGGGCCTTCACATGGGCCATGGGTCTGCGCCAGTCCAGTCACGCTTGGATGGGAGACTACAAATCCCAAAGGCCAGGAGTGGGACAAGCCATCGAACAATTATCAGACAAACCAACAGGTTATTCCCTCCTCTAGAATTCCTCTTCTCCTTCTACTGTTCATCATCTTCCTCTTGAACCCTAGCTTCCACTGCTGATTCTCTTCCTCTCTCTATCAATCCAGATACCAGGTTGCTAACAGACGAGTTCAACAAACTCTCTATGCCTGGCAACAACATCAAGCACGCGCCTCACCAACGAGCTAGAAACTCTCCATGGCTGGCACACGCTAGGATTTTTCATTGTAGAACGATCCGACGACGGCTGGGAATTTGAAGAGACGTGGCCCAATAATGACACGCCAGAGATTGAACTGCAAATTCGTGTTACAGAGATCAGTAGATTCTCTAGCGCACGAGAAACCCAGATGCTCGGCGGCGTGTAGATTATTTGCAGCCGGAAGCTATAAGCCGAGCACGGCCGAGTTCGCCGGCTTCGCACATGAGAACACGTGACGACCAGCGGACGGCCGTGGCCACCTCCCTCCGGGCCTCCTCAGCTCACAAATGACGAGACCAGCTGGGTGTTCGGCCACGGTGCTGGACATGACATGGAGTTCTCTGACGTCAACGACAACCATCTTGGCGTCAACGTTTCCAGCTTCATGTCAGTTGCGTCGAAGCTGGCGGAGTACGTCGATGTCACCCTAGCCAGCGGGAAGCTCATGCAGGAGGGTGTTCGATGAAATGAACACAGATTACTGCAAGCATAGCCTATGCTACATAACCTACATAACTCTTGATGCAATGTAAATCTTGTACAAGTAACCAATCAACCCTTATTGCTGAGTCAACATAGGGAGCCAGGGCATTGTTGTACCAGTATATAACGAGGCTGCTCAGCGCCTCCTCCGTACCTCCGGCATTTCCTTGCTGCTATGTAGTTTGTTGGGGCGTGTTTGGTGCCTTGCATCTAGGCTAGGCTTCCCTGGCCTGGCCGGTGGTGTGCTGAACCTGCTGTTTGGTTCCCTGAATGGCCACCAGAGCCATTGGCCGTCTGGATGCAAAATGCCTCGCCGAGCCTAGCTCCTGAAAAACGTGAATCACTTCTGTTTCTCACAGGTTTGGCTTTGGCGGACACACACCGTGGCTTGTGCAAGAGAGAGAAGGTCCAGCAGCAATTAGGGATGAAAACGAACGGAAACGGCAAGAAAACCCCTCTTCTGTTTTTGTTTTTATATTTTCTTGGCGGAAATAGGACTACATTTAAAAAAACTGGATTCAGAAACAGAGTTGGATATGCGGGCATAAAAAACAAACCAATACAGACGGAACGGTTAAGACGGAATACCACACAGTTACTCAGCGCTTGTACACTAGCTGCTGGTCTGTTGCACCTCCGGCTGCACTTCCAAGCAGGCGCAGCACGCCTACAGTGTGGCTGCAGGCTTGTAGCACAGCACCAGCAACACAGGAAGAGGAAGGACTAGCCGGACATGCCATGGCCATATGCCTGCCGCCTAAAAGCACATGCACAAGAGCAATATACGCAAGAAGTTTTGACTCCAAGTTTAGAAACAACAGAATATCATACAAGTCTGAATATTTTCACAATTCCTACACTGAATTTTTAGTCCGGTTCAGGCGATGTAGCTCTGCCGCTTGCTGCTTCGGCGAGCGGCCACGTGTCCTGCGGTGGTTCAGGCGTGCGCATGGAGCCTCACCTTGCTGGATTTGACTGCCCCGTCGGTGGTCAATGGCCGTGCATCCATGTCTATAACATATCAAATGCACATGTTAATTAGTTAAAAAAAATACACGGAAGAGTATGGGATTTATCTGTGATTTGTTAATTGTTTTTGTGTCATAACATATCAAACTTTTGTCTTTATATAATTGTAAATTTTAATTGTCTTTGTACCGGCACAAATCATATTTTGTCCGATTTGTAGTTTTATCTAACGGGGTTTTTATTCTTGAATTCAAAAAATTACGGATTATGCCGGTAGAAATTGCAATAAACTAAAGCTATAATTTTAACATAAAATATATGCAATAACTGTCTTCTGAAAAGAAATTAGCAAATCCCTAATATTTTAAATGAGAAAAGAACAGCATATTGCAGAACTCCTTTATTCTTTAGTTTTGACTCAATTAGACAATCACCGCACACAAATAAACATTTTTTCATGACACCCTCGTATCTTTCACAGCTCACTTGAGCTTGAGATTACTAGACTACTAGTAGACGATAGTCACTTGGCAGAGAAACCTTCACTACCTATGAAGATGAGAATCAAGTCTGCTAGCCACTAGTAATTTTGAAACTCTGAATCCACAATGCAAAAATGTGTAATCGGGCACCGCTACTGGCAGAGCAACGCCAAACTTCTGTCTGGCAGAGCACCGCACAGGGCCGCAGGGGCTGGATCACGGCAGTGGGCAAGCACACAGCAGCCGCCAGCGGTGGATCTCGCTTTCTTGAGCTCTAGGCCGACGGCGAGCAGGTGCTAGGGGCCTTGAGCGACGGGCGACAGCGATGATAGGGGTTACAGCAGGTGCGGAGCGAGCGATAGGGTGCGGCGCCTGGCGTCAAGGGGGGCAGCGCTTATAGGTTAGGGCGGGCGACAGTGCTGGGCTAGTTGGGCTGCCTGTTGGACCTTGGACGATGGGGTACATTGTTTGTTGGGCTAACCCAGAAATAAGAAAAACAGGTAACATATAGGACATTTCCACATCATGTAAATCGGAGATTTTTGCAATTCCGCCATTATAGAAAATTGGATTCGCTAGATTGCCATTCCTCAACTTGGATTCGCTACTTTGCAATTGTGAAAAGGATGTAAGCCACCGGAATGCATTTTGTAGAGTTTGGAAGTCATTTAATTCCTAGGGAAAAAAAACTAACCCCGCTTTCCCCTTGTGCCTGCCTCTTTTTTCTTCCATCCGCAAGTTTGACCACAGGAACGGAACGCTTTAAAACTGATCGGCCTGGGGTCTCCTTCCTCCTCTCGTCATTAATTCCCTCCTCCCTCCCAACGCATCCGAGAGCAGCCTCATCCCCAGCGCTGGTAGCCTTGCCCCTTCCCCGCGCTCGCCCATGGCACCGCCCCCACGCCTCGCCCTCTTCCATGCCAGCGCGGCACCACGCCTCACCCAGGCATCACGGGTACATGCCCGCCACCCAAGCACCTGCCCCCGACCACTGAGGAGGTCCGCCGCACCATCGCACATCGCCTATGGTATCCCGTTGTGGAGGTCCGCTCCTGGTGCAAGCCGTCAATGGAGGGAAGCAACAGTTCGATGGTGGCCATCTAGAGGACTGGTATGGTAAGTCCTTCTCCCTCTTGTTCTTTGTGACAAATGCAAATGCCGGCTTGGGCTGCGGCGGGGTGGGGCTACCGGCCTGGGGCGGCCTGGGCATCGGCAGAGTTCCCGAGTAGTCGGGCACCTAGCCAATGCACAATCTTCCCTTCTGATGTGGCGGTGAGAACTAGGTCGAGTTGGGCCCCCATCAGTGGGATCTCTTCTTGTTCCTCCTCCATATCAGAGTGGATAGCATAAGTCTTGAGACCACAGTCTGGTAGACAGAGGCGGTGTGTTCTGAGCCCAAGTGGGAGTCGAGCTAGGCTTGGACCATGGTTGTCCAATGGCTTACAAGCCGGCTCAAAAAACCTGGTCGTGTCCAAGTAGGACTTGAACTGCTTGAGGTGTTTCCACGCCCAAGTTGGACTGGAAATCAAAAATTCACCAAATTTCTTAGCAAGATCCTCTAGCGCGTCTTGTTGAGGAGCCGGAGGAGCTTGATCCGCGGATGTCTCTATGAGGCGACCTTGGAGTATGCCGGAGTCGTCTGCCGTGAAGGTCCAGGTATCGAAGGTGAACGTTGATCCTGCCAAGAACATGTTGTTGATCTAGAGGTCTATCGAGCTTTCGATCATCTTTTTATCGAAAGCCCCTACCTAGCGCGCCAACTGTCGATGTCTGATGACCAGCCACTACTACATTTAGACCTATCACAAGCGGTTCGTAAAGCCCATCACAAACGCCTTTTGGTCTCGGCAGTAAGCTGTCGATAGTGATGACATTCTCATCACAGGCGGTTTGCAACTGGCGGTGATACTTGCTTATCACAGTTAGTTGTATTACCAGCCGGCGGTGATTTGAATTTAAAAAAATCCCAAAAATGGGTCAAAAAATAGCAATTTTTTTTTGTTTCAATCCTGTAAGCCTCCCCACCAGCTCCAGCTTCATGGTACTGTAGCTGCCCTAGCTCCAGTTCCACGCTATTTTTTATGGTATGCGATGGTGCTGGGATTCGAACCTGAGACCTTTGTCCTTAGCTCCTCTAACCACTCTACCCATAAGTCACTTGTGTCTATATAGCATATCTATTCCCCAAGTGTTCACTTTACAGGATTTAAAATGAATATTTAGGACCCTAAACGGCTTCAGATGAAAAAGTCATAAACTACAAATTTATTGTTCTTATCGAGATCTACAACTTTGATTTTGGTTATTTTGCCATCCGAGGTCGTTTGACAAATTTGAATTTCAAAATATCAAAACTTCAGCCAAACTTTTGGGACCTCAAATGATTTTAAATGAAAAACTCATCAACTACAAAGTTGTTCTCATTGAGATCTACAACTTTAGTTTTAGTCAATT